AATATGATCCGATCGTAGCCTCTATTACCGACAGTTCGACTGTCGCAACCGACGGCGTCCACCGCTGCTCTACAGTAGGGTGAAGAAGGCACGGTGACTTGCTCGTGAATTTGTTTATAGTTGGAGTGGACTTGTGCAGCATCTACCTCACTCTGTCCTCCTCTCCTACATGAGTCTGGTGTCAAGACATAGTCAAGACGACCGAAGGGCAGGAGAGGGCGTAGGTGGCTGTCACGGCCGGATCCGCACCTAGTCTTACCACCACGCCCACTGGTCCATAGCAAACATGTAACCAGGATTTTAACCGACGACAGCAAAACAACGGATCGGAAAGACGAGGTGATATGGTTAACGTCTCTATTCCCAACAGTTCGACCGTCTTTTCTGACTATGTCCACGCTGTGCTTCATAGTGTGCTGAGGGCAGGCACGGTGAATTGCGCGTGAGTTAGTTTATGGTGGTGGCAGAATTGCGCAGCACTTACCGCACTCTCTCCTCTCCCAACTAGCTTTGGTGCCAAGACAGTGTCAAGAAGACCGGAGGCGGGGGAGGACGCAGGTGGATGACACGGTCGAGCCCGCACCTTGGCGTTGCACTCCACACCCCCTGGTTCACACAGAAAATGACCAGGAATTGGCCATCAAGGAGGAATGGCAGGGGTCCCAGTGTGTGAGACGTCTGCCGGCAACCGGGTCTGCAACCGCACCCCGAAATGCTGGCATTTCTTATGGTGCGTAAATGGGGCCAGGCTCCGATTTGGTCCCCGTGTCGGACCAGCGCATCCATCACGTGACCCGTTTAGGGGGTACGTCTCTATTCCCACACCAGTAAGAATGCAAAAGCGATCGTTTTGTTGTAGGTCATAGATAGTCTTATTTGTGTGAATCTAGGAGGATTAAATGAGGATAAGAACCATCTGTGTTATCTCTGTGATCTAGCCTCGCCGCCCTCGAGACTGCACTAACCTGCCTAAAAAGTGTGGTGAGGTATCCCCGAAGGCAGTGGGTTCATGCAAAACTCCAAACGAAAGTGTCTTGACGAAATGTGAGTAGCTCTCTGAGGGCCCATAGAAGCGAACAGGCGACTTCCAGGAAGCAGTTCCGAAGAAGAGGAAGGTGCGATCACTGGAACAAGAAGTTTATTGAGCTCAGGTTAGCAAAGATAAGAGATCCGGGTCGATATTGGCCTGACGTTTCGGATTCTCACTCGAACCCATCATCGGAGGCAGTCGCAGATGAGGGGTAGGGAAGGCACAACGATAGTAGTATTTATAGTGCCTAGCTGCCATACGACCACATGCTCACTATAATTAACGGATCTCGCGGTCGCCGCTGAGCTTCGTAATTGATCTGACGCTGACTCAAGTCGTCAGTTGCCGCGACTTCATCATCCGTGCTGCATGTTGTCGTGATGATTACTCGACAATTTGGTCCTCTGTCACTGGAATTGTTGCCCGCCCGCGACCTCCCCACTACAAATGCTGCAGTGCCTGTGCCTTCCCCACCCTTGTCTGCGACTGTCTCTGAAGATGGGTTCGAATGAGAATCCGAAACTTCAGACCAATAGGCTTCTTGCCCCAGTAATCGCATATTCTGAGCTATCTGAGTCTGCTTTACACGGACTGGGGGAAAAAACACATCACTTCCGAGAAGTAAGACAAAACGAGACAAGCTTTCAAGGCACATACTTTTAGCCTACGCAAATGCTCATCATTTCTAAAGACTTTTGAAACGACCGACGTTTCAGCAACAAGATGTTTAAAAAAACAGACGTCTGTGCCACTGAATGTGCAGGTGGCGTCATACTAAGTGGTCAAATTGATTAGTCAGAAGAAAAAACCGGTTACGTTATTACCGACGAAGACAAGAGAGACTGGAATGTCCATTTCCGGCTTATTAGCCGTCGTCAGCCAGTCATACCCAATTCCGAAGTGTGGAACACCCGAGGCTCGAACTTACGACTTATTAGTTAGAAGTCCACGCCTCTAACCACTGGGCCACGAGTCCGTTGCCCTGTCAGTTTCGATTGGGAATATACAATGGTAGGGGGCGCTGACCGATCGTTTTTACGGAACTCACTCGTTCATGGGCTCACTCTCGAGAAAAACCAGCAGCCACACGGCGGCAAATGATATAGACAAAACGGCATTACCGACAAAGACAAGGGAGACTGGAGTGGCTATTTCTGGCTTATTAGCCGTCGTCAGCCAGTCATGTCCAACCCCGACGCGTGGAAAACCCGAGGCTCGCTCGAACTATCCCTTGAAACCGACCTGGCAACGGGCTTGTGGCTCAGTGGTTAGAGGCGTGGACTTCTAATTAACAGGTCGCGAGTTCGAACCTCGGGTGTTCCACACTTCGGGATTTGGTATGACTGGCTGACGACGGCTAATAAGCCAGAAATGGCCATTTCAAAACCGGATACAACAGCAAAACAGGACAATCGATGGGACAATGAACCAGCGACCCACGGTCATGAATTTGAATTCTACTCAACAGATCGCGAGCTCGTGCCTCAGAGACTGCATACCTCGGGTTGGGTGTGACTGGCTGATGACGGCTAACAGGTCTCCCTTGTCTCCGCCCGTAATGTTACTCTACAGTTGATTTTGCCTGCAAGCGAATTGGTTTCAAACCCCTTTTTTGTTAACCATGCCTTTCAAGGAGCTGAGAATTATCTTATCTGATAGGTCAGATCATCTGCGAGTAGTTGACACCTCAGTGCCTACTGCCCTACACCCTGGTTCTAAAAGATTTTCTAGAAATGAAAATTTCAGCTCCCGTGAGAGCGCGTTCACCATGCCCTTGGCGGCATATCATATATTGGAGTGAGCACCCAATAATCTCAATATACTACAGGAAGTTCGACTGTCGTTGCCAACGATGTCCGCCGTGAGCTCCACAGCAGGGTTGGAGCAGGGACGCTGACTTGCGCACGAGTCAGTTTATAGTGATAGTGGACTTTCGCAGCATCCACCCCCACCTGGGCCCGGCATCATGGCAAAATCGAAAAGACCGGAGGTGGGGTGGGGGGGCGCAGGTGGCTGGCGCAATGAGAGCTCGCACCCAAGGTACCACCGCACCCCTGGTCCACAGCGGACATTGACCAGAATTTTATACACCAGGGAAATGACAAGAGGGGACGGCACGGATCCCAGTTGACGCTGAGTGAACCTGAAACTGAGTCGGTCGCTACATCTCGGTGCTGGCATTTGGTATGAGCGCGCATTCCCCACAAAGCCTGCCGGACATCGATATACCATCGGCGGAGTGGATGGCACCCGGGTGCAACCATTTCTGGGGTTTTTTTAATCTTCAGCCAATAAAATAATTCAACGACTTGACCTGGAGTCTCAGGCTGGATGGCAATACAGAATGTCATATTCCGACCTTCAATCAGCCCATGTCGACAAAAGGCTGCCTCCTCGTGAGGCAGTCAGTAAACGGAACGAGAGTTGGGTCAAATGGGCTGATAGGCCCGAGATAACTCTGCGAGCTTCCCCCGCTTGTAATTTGGGTGTCGCAGACTGCCTAGGCAAAATAGCCTTTCAATGACCGTTTTAGCCTCTTCTGCTGTTAGCGTGATAACACCGTGCCTTTGATTGCCTACTTATATAGAAATATTTTGCTCAGGGAACCCCTCGATATCTAAGAGTGCGACAGGCCAGACGCAGAGAGCTTGTTCGCGGTCGCTACCGATCATCAGTACGTCATATGGCCCATGACGTACTGATGATCGGTAACGGCCGTGAAACAACTCCCTGCGTCTGGCCTGTTGCATTCTTAGTGAGCTGCCTACGTATCATATGTGATGCGTGTCCAATGACACAACGCTCGTTGTAGCCAGTAGCCAGCTGGCGAGCGAACAGAATGGGATCGCGTGAGATCCTAACCACAACAGTGAGAGTCAAACACTTACCTGACACTCTCAAGATTTGCTGACTGTATATCCTACCCCATAGATTGAGACTAAAAGGACAAAGGTAGCATCGTTCCTACACTGCTCAATCACACAAATGGTATCTAAAGCAATAATGGCCATGATATTCCCCATTCTCCACTTCAACTTTTGTTACCTACTGTTCTGTGTTAGATGCGCCCGATTGTATGCCTTCGACATGATCAAGCAGTTGCTGCTATCAAAACGTACTTTAGTCTGGAAAATTTTCTTCCTGCGCGCACAGTACTCCCAAAACTAATCGAGTCAGTATCCAAAACCAGTACGCAAACCTGTTTATTCAAAAAAAGACTCAGATGGATGAGAAGTTGACATTGTGCAAACTGAGGATCATTCAGAGCGTTATTGTCTTGGAAGCGAACTCAAGTTAGTCCCTTCACGACCAACTAGCTAGCCAAACGTTCCACTCAAAAGCTTTCGGAATTGTACGTCGCGTACAGTCATGTCGGGACCGGTAATGGGAAAAATTGACGTAGGACCATCGCGCGAACAATGGCTGTACGGAGGCGTACAAGCAGCTGAAGGCTGATAGTCTATGCAGGCGGAATTAGCTGCGAATGTGAATGTTGTGAATGTTCTCATGAGGCGATTAACAGTGGTAAAACTTGCGTTGTGATAATGAGTATCTACGGAGGACTACAGAGGACTGGGCTGTAAATGCGTTTAACTAGAATGGAGGTCGAAACTAGGAGAACTGGAACACTGTTCACATCACTACTCGTAGTGCCCGTTGTCGCGAGCGAACAGACACACACGTACGTCAGAATTTTAGCCAGTTGACTACTGTGCCACAGAAAGAGAGCGCATCCACCAGGGTCAGGAGCAGGCTCGCGTGTTGACAGTGCTTGTGCAGCAGAAGAGGAAGGTGGGGAGTGACCTTGAAGGAAGAACCGGCAGCCAATCAACAGCGTTCTCCAGCTGTACGAATCGTCGCGTAGCACCTGCTGGTAGCCCGACCGTTCAAACACCCTTCCTGGCCTAATTACAACAGGTTTGAAACGCCTCGGTTGACCACTAGTCGTCTCCTGGATCCATCTGCGTGCATGGCAAAAATTCTGAGCTGTTGCCCCTGGCTTCTGATACTTGTTATCAGCACCAACTCACAGCCTTCGACAAAGTTACTCACCGAGAAGTTGCCCATTTTCCAGCCTCGAGGGCAGGCTGGTGGTGTTTTGTGTCCTTCCTTTTGTGAGTGCAGTAAGGAGGTGCCCGACCATCGCTCTATCGACCGCCAGAAGCATAGATCAACCACGTCAACTGGCCTCTACGTGGCAGAGTGCCACCTGGCGGCGGGAAACTTGCCAATCGAGTGCAACCACAATTGGAATAGTCTCAAGCTTAACCTATACAATCACTCCTCGGGGTCTTTGTCGCCGTGGATCGATAGTGGGTCAAGTCCACACATGAGTCACCTGGTTTCCTGTCACGAACTCTCAAGTCTTTACGTCACACAGACAGGGGACAATGCCGTTTCTCTTTCCTTTCAGGCCCTTCTCTACGGTCTGACGAATCTGCGCCGAGTATGGTTCCATCGGATAGGACTAGACTTTGATCTAGATGGTCCCTCAAATTTGCTCTACATTGCACCGAAGACTGAACTGATCGCCTTCTCAGATGCTCCACTCAATTTGGACGCCAGGAAGCCCCTGTTCCTAGATACCCCAGCAAGTCTTAGACAGCTCCGACTAAGTAATGTCAGCCTAGCTGGGGTGTTTTCCAAGCACCTGTTAGTTAACCTTTGTCACACCTTGGGAGGTGCTCCCAGAACGAATGACCTCGTGACGCTCTACCTCGACCGAAATGCCATAAACTCGTTGCAGAGTGACAGCCTTGTGGGATGCGAACATCTGAGAGTGCTTCAACTGTCTTTCAACAAACTATCAGGAAGTTTGGAAAGTGTCCTTGGCATGAGGGACCCTGAAAGACAGGATGTTTGGTCTCATCGACAGACTCGACTTAGAGCTCCCCAGATGCTTAAGACGATAGGCCAGAGCGTCCTGGCCAATACACCACGTCTGCAGACATTGGATCTCTCCGGCAACTTCATTTCCAGCATCAACAGCCCGTTGTGGGCCTTTTATATGCACGAAGACAGGCTTCAATCTCTTGAGGTGCTTCAGAGTCTGTCGCTTTCTAACAACAATCTCACCTTCCTCGCCAGAGGTGCATTTCAAGGGGCCGCGAGCCTTAAGGAGATTGACCTCTCTCGAAACCCCCACCTATTTTCTCCTGTAGAGATTCCAAACCCAGACTTTCACTCATTTATCGATCCCACAATTTTCGGGGGTCTAAAACTCCTCAAAAAGCTGTACTGGGATTTTTCTTCGAAAACCTGTCTCCTCAGTGCACTGAGTGTGATCACAGACTATGGCGAATTATCAACAGGCCTGTTCGAACTTTTCTCTCGTGCCGTCCTTTGCTCCACAGGGGAACCAACAGACACGGTCCCCTCTCCCACTCCTCAAGTGCGTTCTTCTCTGGCGATCGATTCCGCAAGACAACCCCCTAACCGATGGAGAATACCGCCGGAAGTGGAGAAAATACCACTCAGTAAGCCAGGCAGTGACGGTAGTCAACTGGGTGTGGAGGAGAGCTGGGCTCCCATTGATATCGCCTCCAGTTTCCTCTGCGTCTTGATTGGCGTTCTCCTTGTAGTTCTTGTCGTCGTGCTTGTCGTGCGCAGTCGTTCTTCGAACAGACGTAATCGTGCCTGCTGTGCGAACTCACGCAATTCAAACAAACCACCCAACGCGTCTGCTCGTTCACTATCCGCTGAACCCCCTATCCCCTGTCCCCCCTCGCCCTCTATCCTCCGTGGCGGTGGCGAGCAGCAGAACACTCTGAGACATCATCATCATCACGCGTCCTCCCTGTGGGCTCTGAATTCCCCCAGTAGTTCTCTCAGACCTCGGATCACGCTTTCAGACTGCTCGGACAGAACTTCTTCCGTCCGGATAAATAATGACAGAAGTCTCCTTCTTGCCTCGCCAGATCAGGCGCCGCCTTCTCACCAGCTCAACAACAACACCGTTACAACAGGACTGCCTAATGGCACACTACTGCGTAGTTTCAGCGTCCAAAATCTCTGTCTGGCCTGTCTGGAACAAGTCCAGCAGGGCGGCTCTGGCGCTGGCGACGGTAACCCTGACAACCCGACGCTCGGAAGGAATTTCGGCCTTCTTAAGGAGCAGGGACATGGGGCCTCTTGTCGGACTTCCGATTTCTGGCAGGTGGGTTGGAAGTGCCACGGCGCGAGCGACGCTTTTGAGTCCACGGACGCGGAGGAGGGCGAAGCACGTCAGTGGTTGGGCACCACCAGTGATGGCTGGGCGGGCGAGGGGGGCACAGGGAGGCACGTTTTGGTCAGACAGAAGTCCGCCAAGGACCCTGGCTGCTGCGGAGACTTGCGCGCGGGGGAGAACTTCGAGGACACAGAGGGCACACGGGTACTGCTAGACGAGGAATCGAGGGCGGTGCCCTACACAGGCTGCAGTCGTAAACATTACGTCAGAAGGAGCACGACGGGTCTCTTTGCCACTCCCGTCTGGCGTCTGGCGAGAGTCTAACTTGGGGAGAGGAGTTGCTAATATCAACCGCACGACTGCCGTTATCCTGCGTTAACTCCTCCCGGACAAGCGGACAGACTGTTTTCTGTAAAGATTCTGATTTAGTTTATTCTCCAGGACGAGAGCCATGCCCTCATGCAGACAAAGACTCTTGCGTTTGTGCGTCTCTGAAAAAAAATCACTGTGTTACTTGTGTAATCACCCTTAATCTTGCACATTAAGCAAGGTTATTTTTTACTTTCTCTGGTTTTCCATTAATAAACACGGGAAGGCAGGAAAGAAAACTTGCGAGGCCCCATCGTCCAGGTAAGCGCTACATCCCCCGAAAGCAGTCACTTTGAAAGGGATTATGCGCTCATCTTTATTTATCAAACATTCCTTCCCTGGAAGAAATCTGAAGAACATCAAGGCTAAGAATGATACAGAGTTTGAATTTATCACTTCAATTCGCGGCCTAATCGTGGATGCAACCAGCTCTTGCCTAGTTGTGGAGAAATTGATAAGTAGATCATGTGATCAACCTGGTACTTTTCAGGAAATAAAGAGTTCCTTATCTGTCAATATCGCGCCCG